TGCATCAGCAATGATGGGCTCATGGAATCTGACGTCAGCTCACGCATTGCAAAGGCCAGAGCTGCCTTCTTGAACCTGCGTCATCTTTGGCGACAGAAGGGAGTTTCCCTCCGTCTGAAAGGCCGTGTATACAAGGCCACAGTGAAGACCGTTCTGCTGTATGGTAGAGAGACTTGGCTTCTTCGGTCTGAAGATCTGAGGCGCCTTCAAGTCTTTGACCACCGTTGTTTGCGAAGCATTGCTGGTGTCGGATGCCGCCAGCGTGTCCGCAACGGTGATGTGCGTAAGCGAGTACTAGGAAGTGATAATCATGCTAGCTCCCTAGAAAAACAGATAGCGCTGAATAAGTCGCGTTGACCTGGGCACGTGCTACGCATGCCTGGTCACCGCTTACCTAGGAAGGCATTGTTTAGTCTGCCAGATGTAGGATGGCGCAAGTTTTGAGGTGGACAGAAGTTGACTTGGCAGCGTGAAATGAAGTCACTGACGACCAAACTGGGTGCCGTTGGTCCGTCTGGCCTTCCGGGCTGGAGTCCACGTGACTTGCCTTTTGCTTGGCTCCAGACTTTACAGGACTTGGCTCGCAACCGACACCAGTGGCGCGTCTGCTGCCGTCTCCTAATCGGATTGCTTGTTTAAAGTGTGTTTGGTGCTGAGTTATCTGCGGGGTAATGGCTGATTATGACGCGTGGCAGTGAAAGCCGCAAGGAAGTTGCCTCGCCGATGCCACCTTATCTTTGCACGATAGCCAGCTGTTTGTGACGGTATGTTGCCTAAACAAGGTGTAGGCGCCTTGACCGTGAATGTTTGCTTAGGGCATTAAGGTTTTCAGGTAAATCCCTCTTCTCTCCATCTTCTTATTCTTTATTTCATAGGTCCTCATGGTTGTATGGCAGCGAAGCATCAGTTCAAATGGCTGATGTACTGCTATTGATGATGATGCAAACCAAAGCACCGGGCACTTAGGCCTATAAGCTTTTTCAATTTTTCAAACTTAAATGCCAATGGATAGGATCAAAAGGAGATTCCCATAGTCGTTCAATCCTGAATGCGTCGTTGATCCACTTTCGAGTTCGTTGTACGATTGGCCAATTGTATGAAACAAATCAGAATGTGCAGAACACGTGGTCAACGAATCAAGACCCACTCGATCGGCGCTAGCAGACCCCGCTGCGCCGGTCGCGTGCAGTAAGAAAAGAAAGAGTAAAATTGTAGTCTAGGCATAAAGTGGGAGGTTCAAAGTATTAAGAGGAGGTTAGTACAAGTAATTAAGAAGGAAAAGAAGTGAACAGCAAACGAAAGTAGAATAAAAGAGAGAAAGAGAAGATTAGGAGCTGCAAGTTGAGGGCGTCAAGGCGAATTTTAAACTGTCATCTTGAATGATAATACGTCTACGGGTAGCGCATTCCAGGAATCTATCACTAAGCGACAAACGAATGTCAGCCCGAACCCGAACAGATAGGAATTTAAGCAAATTCAACGGATGCCTACGAAGAGTAGGTAAGTGAGCAGGATGTAAAAGTCAGGAGAGGTCAGGGCCGGTCCGCTTTGTTAGTATACGATAAGTAAGTACTAAATTGCCACAAAGACGATGATAGTGTAGTGATAACACTTTTAACTTGAGCAGTCTGTCTAGATAGGAGAAGTGCCGCAGCCCTCGGACTATTTTGGTACCATTCCTCATGACCCACTCTACCGCCATCCTGTCACTAGTTAGACAAGGAGGACAAGCCTGGATGAAGTACTCCAACTGCGGTCTAACAAAGGCCGTAAACACTTTCGTAAACATGTCTTCCGTTAACATCTCAAATGATCTACGGATCATCCAGAGCGTCCAGAAGCTTTTGCTAGCCGCTCGTTTCCAGTTCTCGCTGGATTTGAATTCCATTGCTAAGGTAACACTTAAGTCAACTTGTTGGGACACATTAGGTAATGCGTTCCAGCCAAACATGCGTAAAAGCGCATTACTGAACACTGTGTGGTTAACCGGCATTTGCCACAGAGACGAAAAAATGGGTGAGGAACCTCTCATAACTTCATGAAACTATTCGTGACATCCTACTGATCACGGGATATTTGGTACTAATTGGAATTCACTAATCTCATTGCAATTCAGGAAACAGAGTGGACCAAATCACACCTAGGCCTTTTTAAAAGGCTTTTATTGTTACATACCACTAGTGCGGGGGGAAGTAATTTGCAACTACGTACTACGCGGCTCTTCTCGTACCTAGGTATCATCTCTAGTTAAAATGCCTCCTCATGTTTGCTGTGCTTATCGTTCATTTCATTCAAACCACACTGGTTCGACAAGGAATACGGTAGGCTGGCTCGGTTACGGCGAAGAGTGTGGGACGCATTTCGCCTATCTAGCTCCGCCACTGATTACGAACTATACAAAAGACAGTGAAAGATTTGCAACAAAGTGAAATTGATAAAGCGCCGGAAGTTCGAAGAAAAGCTTGCAACTGATGCGAGGATGGCCCCAAAGAAGATCTTTGCTTACGTGAAACGCCGTTTGAAGCCAAAAGGTGACGTGTCATGTCTGGAAGACGCGGACGGACACCTGCTAACTTCCAGTTCCGATCGCGCATCCGCACTGGCCGCTCACTTCGCTTCCGTGTTTGCAAACGACGTGGCGTCCCTACCCATCTCAGCGAGTAACATTCCTGTAAAACTCAACATTTTGGTTTGTGATGTCGACGAGGTGCGCCTGCTACTTGCGAACCTTGACGGTACCAAGCCTGCAGGGCCTGACGGGCTTCATCCGCTAATTATCAAATCACTAGCTGCCATTATCTCGCCTGCTGTTACGGATCTATTCAACAAATCATTGTCTGAGGGCTCATTGCCAAACGACTGGAAGCGCTCGGTGGTGAGGCCGATCCCGAAAGGTGGCGACCCCAGTAAGGTGGATAACTACAGGCCAGTTTGTCTTACACTCGTTTTGGCCAAAGTGATCGAGAAGATAGTAAAAAAGTGTCTAATACATCTGTTGCAATCGGAAGAACTTCTGACACCGGCACAACACGGATTTAGGATAGGATATTCTTGTGTTACCAACTTACTTGTGACGAGACAGGAATGTTTGCAAGCATTGAACCGGGGAAAGTCCGTCGACGTAATCTACATCGACTTCAGCAAAGCATTCGACAAAGTCAATCATGAAGTGCTTCTAGACAGATTAAGATCGTGTGGTGTCGGAGGATCGTTACATCGATAGATCCATGAATTTCTCGTTGGAAGAAAGTAGAGGGTACAGGTGGACGGCCATCTAACCGATTGGCATCCCTCGACCAGTGGTGTACCTCAAGGTACGGTACTGGGACCCACTCTGTTTCTCATCCATATCAACGAGCTGTCCCAGCTTCTACGGTCGCCGTGTGCACTGTTTGCGGATGACCTCAAAATTTGGCGAGAAATTAATACTCTCGATGACTGTGACATTCTCCAACAAGACCTCGACCGCCTCGCAGTATGGTCTGCTGAAGTCCACCTACCGGTCAACCCGACAAAGTCCCCATTTCATGAATCTCGGGAAGGCTGTTCACGGACGAACGTACACCCTAGACGGCCAACCACTGCATCCCACACCTTCCATGAAAGACCTAGGTGTACTCTCACGCTGCGACTTGAAGTCCGTCGACAACACCAACAAACTGTACCGAAACGGACTGCGCATGCTCTGGGCACTGAAACGCAGTTTCTGCACTTGGTCTGAGGACGTCGCCACTCGCCTCTTCTCTTCCATCGTCAAACTAATGCTAGAGTACGGCTCGCCTGCATACTGTCCGATCACTCGCGGCGAAGCGCAAAAGATCGAACGAGTACAACACGTCGCCACCAAGTTGATCCCCAGCTTGAGAGGCATATCGTATGAAAACCGGTGCATGAAACTTGGGCTCTACACCTTGTCATATCGCCGTGTTAGAGTGGATCTTATCATGATTTACCGTATTTTACATCTCGGTCATTTCCTCATGCTGAGGTCGTTACTCCACTTCCGAGTACCATGTACCTCACGTGGGCACAGGTACAAACTCGTGGTACCTGATCTGAAGAAAATCCCACACCCCCTGTGTTTCGAGCGGAGGGTTGTGCACGCCTGGAACAGTCTGCCAGAACACGTCGTCGAGGTAGAATCTGTGCAGAAATTCCAATCTTTGTTGGATTTACACTTCGCTAACATACGTTTCAGAGAACGGTTGCCACTTGACAACGATATCACCCACTTGTGACTCACTGTGTGAACAAGCATTTTGTGTGCTACAGAAGGAGTTGCTGAACCATCTCAGGATAACCACCGGACGTTTTATTTTTTAAAATGTTTTTTGACTATCACCCGATGGAGTTGTACAGAATTATTTTCTACTTGCTGCAAAATACAGTATTCAGTATTCAGTATTCCTTCTAATTTGGTAAAAACCGGCTAGGCAAGAAATGCGGTTTGTAATTGGCCGGCCAAGGTGTGAGGCAGTCTTTGTTTTAGGCTTATCGAAATCTCAAGCCGATTTCACAATTCCCGGTTCGACGACATGAAAAAGAAGGAACATCCAGGGGACTATCTTATCGTTCCTGTCCCAACTGAACAGGTCGGTCACCTAGCCGCAGCCTGTCGGCCAAGCGTTGACTGTGTACAAGACTTTAACGAAATGAATGATGGCTAAACTACAGGCGGCGGCATTAATGACACACTGAATTAGGCACTGTCGTTTTAGACATAAAACGATTGTTTCTTGCTTTTAAGTGACCAAAAACGCTGCTTGTTCACCACTCCTGACAACCAGGTAATGGTTATCTTTGCATTCACTGAAGAATACTTCTCAGAAGTAAAAGTAGGGAAGAAAGACATGCATACAGTGGCAACTATAGTTGCAAAGAATGCCTTGCAATTTACGAAGCTAAGTAGCACTCATGTGAGATACATCTAGTCACCAAACTCAGTAACGGGTAGTGATGGTAATAAAAGTTAATGTACGGATTCATTGACAGAGACTCACATTGGCTTCCAGACTATCCATGGCCCAGAGCAGACCCTAGGCCTGAGGAATGGGATCGCGAACTACGGTCACAACACCAACAAACTGTATCGAAACGGACTGCGCATGCTCTGGGCGCTGAAGCGCAGCTTCTGCACTTGGTCTGAGGACGTCGCCACTCGCCTCTTCTCTTCCATCGTCAGACTAATGCTAGAGTACGACTCGCCTGCATACTGTCCGATCACTGGCGACGAAGCGCAAAAGATCGAACGAGTACAACACGTCGCCACCAAGTTGATCCCCAGCTTGAGAGGCTTAACTTATGGAAACCGGTGCATGAAAATTGGGCTCTACATCTTGTCGTATCGCAGTGTTCGAGTGGATCTTATCTTGACCTACGGTGTTTTACATCTCGGTCATTTCCCCAAGCTGAGGTCGTTACTCCACTTGCGAGTACCATGCACCACACATGGGCAAAGGTACAAACTCGTGGTACCCGATCTGAAGAAAATCCCACACCCCTCTGTTTCGAGCGGAGGGTTGTGAACGCCTGGAACTGTCTGCCAGAACACGTCGTCGAGGCCGAATCTGTTCAGGAATTCAAATCGTTGTTGGATTTACACATCACTAACATACGTTTCAGAGAATGGTTGCCACTTGACAACGACATCACCTACTTGTGACTGACTGTGTGAACAAGCATTTTGTGTGCTACAGAAGGAGTTGCTGAACCATCTCAGGATAACTACTGGACGTGTTTATCTATTTTTTTAGAATGTTTTTGATTATCACCCAATGGAGTTGTACAGAATTATTTTCTACTTGCTCCAAAATACAGTATTCAGTTCGCTGGTGGTAACCTAAATTAATTTATCCAGTTGAGCAGCCTAATGTTGAACAATGTAGGTTTGATTACCTTGTAAAACCAACGATATTGTGGAAGGAGAGAAATCGCGTAAAATGAGGACATGCCCATACCAGTGGCTGTTATCAATCGGTTAGAAGAGAAATAGGATTTAAATACACTTTGATTAGAAAATACATAAAATCTTCTGCAAAATTTAATTCCAAATAGAATTCGGAGAATATGTGCCAAAAGCTAAAGCAGCTATCAATAAGTTACCATAAATCGCGGCATTTATTGTAGTAAAAATTAAGTCGCTGTTCTGGTCATAAACTAATGTTGATTTCTCGCCGTTAACATAATCAACTTGATTGTCAAAAAACTTTAACAATCATCAGTAAGCTTGGTATTGTTATAGAAGTCATATTTGTACTACGTTGTGAAGCATTTCCATTTATAATAGCGTTGCAGCTTACGAACATATTTCTATAAGTTGTAGATGCAATCAACAAAATAGGTTTTATGCCCGCCATCTGAGTTTTCTAATAACAAGCATACATCAAAGAGCTGAAATTTTAGTAAGGCGCTTGATCAGGATCCCCATTATAAAATGAAAATAACTGACTAGCCTTAAGGGCTGTTAAAGTTGTCACTTGACATTCAATGATGTGCTCAGATAGATCCAAGTTCGAGCGGTCTACTCAAGTGTATGTTAGGCAAAAATGTAGCCCTTTACACTTTGACACAAAAAATTATCACAAATATTTTTATATATAAGTAAATTACTAGAGCCATTTGGAGTGAACTTGGTGCTCTATGCTGAATACATGAAAAAGATAAGTTGCAAATTTAATACCAGCTATGTATCCGGCAGCTGAAGATGTTAACCCATAAGACAAGGCAAATAAATTCAGCAAAGTAATAACTGTGAAAATACATTTATGTGCGGTGTCGCGTAATAATTAGCCGACCGAACATAACGCAGACAATAATCTAATTTCTGCTTTCGCCCATAGCTCAGAATTCTTGCAAGACAAGGCTTCCACAGGCGAAATCGTGGATGCATTCCATTAGGCAATAAATGGCTAAATATACTGTTAAATATAAACGCATATGAACAATGAACAATGAATTTATACGGGTTAAGAAGCGTTGCTTTACAAGCCCCGTTGGATAGTTGGTGGGGAAATCAACATAATAATTATGATGAAAAGGATAGTAAAATAGTTAACACTTTAAATTCGAAAATAAGGAATTATCGTTTGCTTCGCTGCAGTCCTGCGATCCACTTAGATTCACAACACCCACAGTTAACAACAAATAATTCCATGCTAAACTCCAGGGGTAGGATGGAGACATAGTGTTAAGTAACAAAGTGTAAGTGGATGAGTGCATCGTCCAACCGTCTTTTAAATATTGTTAGTGTCGGTGCAGAGACGACCGATTCTGGGAGAGCATTCCACGGGTGACAGACACGGATGGAAAAGAAATTTCTGCGGCACTCCAGACGACTGTATTGTTCTGCGAGTTTTAATGAGTGGCCCCTCAGGTTTGTATTGCTGCTGAGTTGCAGTAAAGGACGGCACACATGATGTGGGTCTCGCAGATTCAAGTATGTCATAATCAGGTCACCTCGTAGCCTGCGATAGCTTCCACTGAACAATCCTAGTCGTCGCAGCCTCTCCTGGTAGGACAGATTGCGCATTCCAGTTACGTTCTTAGATGTCCGGCGTTGAGGCTGCTCCAGTGCATTAAGGTCGTGTTTCAGCCATGGATGCCAGGCTTGAATTGCGTATTCGACATGGGGGCGAACATACGCACTGAGCATTTGTCGAAATATGGAGCTGTTTATTCGTCCAAGCGCCCGCCTCAACAGCCCAACGTGTTGATTCCCGGTCTTGGAGGCCTTTTCCGATTGCCTGGAGCAACCCAAGTCATCTTGAACCAGGACACCCAAGTCACGTTCGAGAGTTGATTGTTGCAGTACATGCGTTCCGAGTCGGTATGAGTAGCTGCCCTGATGTCGGATGGAAAGCACCTTGCATTTACTGACGTTGAAATGCAATAAGTTTTGGATCGACCATTGATACACTGTATCTAAGTCACTTTGGAGCACATGTTGGTCGGCGTTTGCCTGGATCCTGAGCCAGATCTTGATATCGTCGGCAAACATTAGGAAGTGTGAAGCGATTCCCTGTGCAAGGTCATTAATAAACACCAGAAACAAACGTGGACCTAGAACCGAGCCTTGTGGCACACCACACTCCACTTGTATGGGGTCCGATAAGGAGCTCCGAACTCTGATCACTAACTGCCTGTGAAATAGAAAGTTGGAGATCCAGCTTAAAAGAGGGTCTCCGATCCCGTAATGCTGCAGCTTGGATAGTAGTATCCGATGGTCTAGACGATCGAAAGCCTTGGAAAAATCCAGGTAGATCACATCAACACCTTCCCCAGCGTCAGTTGCCTCGGTCCAACTACTGCGTGCAATGAGTAAATTAGTTGTACATGACCGCTGTCGACGGAAACCATGCTGTTCAGGAGTGATGAGGTTGCAGTTTTCCAGATAGCACTCCAGTGCATCGGCAACTATGGATTCCATCACCTTGGAGAGTATAGGAAGAAGGGTTACTGGGCGGTAGTTGGAGGGATCAGTTCTGCTTCCACCTTTGTGAATCGGGCTTATTATTCCAAGCTTCCACATGGCGGGAACTTGGTTCTGGTCTAACCAGTGTTGGAAAAACTGAGCTAAATGTCCTGCCAGTTGGTTTGCTGCTACTCCCAATGCCTCAGGACGAATGGCATAGACACCTGGCGAGCTGTGTTTGTGTAGAGAGGTCAGCTTTTGCAATACAGCCTCTGCGGTAAAATTGATGTGGGTTAGTCCTGGTGAGCAGAAGACAAAGCTTGGGAGATCGCTTGGTGGCAAGACCCTTTGAAACGTGGGGGCGTATTGCATCTGCAGCTCGCTTGCAGCTTCCATAGACGTTCTTGTTGGGCCATCGGCCGTCTTGAGTGGAGGAAATGCTTGCCTCACATTTCGTAGGCTATTAACGTGCTTGTACAGCAGTTTGTGGTTAGCACTGAAGGTTTTTGCCATGTTCTGCTGATAGGCGGCTTTGTCTTCTCTTAACAGTTGAGTGCAGTGGTTACGTTGGGCTACGCATTTGTCCCACGTTTTTGGTGCTGGAGCTTCTCTGTACACTCGCCATGCTGCGTTGCGTACTGTCATCCATTTTCGGGTTCTGCTCCTAACGAAAGAAACGGATTTGCACTTATTGTAAGCTTTTATCTCTGAAGCCTGTGCAATCAGCTGACTGAATGTATTGACGAACTCGAGCCAGGCGAGTTCTGGGGGTTCTTCTTCGAGGAAAGACCATGTTGTGGCGCTGACTAGCTGGGCGAGTCGGTCGTATCTTGTGATGGTTCGCACAGTCTCATCTTTATCATTCCGATATTCTGCATAGCAGATGAAGTTGAAACTGATGACTGCGTGATCACTGCGACCCAACGGGCAGTCTAAAACCAACGCATCAATCATATGCTCTTCGTTGGTAAGCACAAGATCCAACACAGATGGCCTGTTACCAGTTCTGAACCGAGTGGGCAAAGTGATGTGGTTGTAAAGAGGAGCAGTAGTTACTAGATCTTGTAAATCGATTTTGAATTGTTCGCCGGTTGTGGCAGGGGCTTCTAAGCAATGTACGTTGAAATCACCCATGATAAGAATGTGAGTGTACTTTTGTTGTAAACTGCACCTTAAAGCAGCCATTAGGTGGTAGTCGGTTTCGGGTGTTGAGTTAGGGGCGCGGTACACCAAGATAATAAGGCAAGCGTCCCTACCTTTTAACTGCAACCGGCACCAAAGAGAGTCGGGGAACTGAGAATCTGAATCCTCCACGGCTTCGCACTGTAAGTCGTTTCGGTAGTACAGGATTACCCCTCCTCCTTTTGTGAGCCTATCGTTCCGGATCAGCGACATGCCGGGTAGCGACACTTAAGCGTCCGTCATTCCCGTGTGCAACCATGTCTCGGTGATATCAATGACATCATACGAGCCGGAAGCTTGGCGATCTTTCAGTTCAGCCAGTTTGTTAGAAAGTCCCTGAGCATCTGTATACAAGCAGGCCAGTTTCTCGGTCTCTAGGAGCCCGCAGAGAGGTGAAGCTGTCAAGTGTGGGAGAATGCCGACCGATGGGAGGTCGGCAGTTATTCGTTTTTTTGATGGGTCAATGATACCTCGTTTGCAACTTG